CATGTTACTGTTAGTGCCAAGCATGTTACTGTTAGTGCCAATCATGTTACTGTTAGTGCCAAGCATGTTACTGTTAGTGCCAATCATGTTACTGTTAGTGCCAAGCATGTTACTGTTAGTGCCAAGCATGTTACTATTAGAGCCTAGCATGTTACTGTTAGAGCCAAGTATGTTACTGTTAAAGCCAAGCATGTTACTGTTAGAGCCAAGCATGTTATTGTTAGAGCCATGCATGTTACTGTTAGTGCCAAGCATGTTACTGTTAGAGCCAAGTATGTTACTGTAGTGCCAAGCATGTTACTGTTAGAGCCAAGCATGTTACTGTTAGTGCCAAGCATGTTACTGTTATAGCCAAGCATGTTACTGTTAGTGCCAAGCATGTTACTGTTAGTGCCAAGCATGTTACTGTTAGAGCCAAGCATGTTACTGTTAGTGCCAAACATGTTACTGTTAGAACCAAGCATGTTACTGTTAGTGCCAAGCATGTTACTGTTAGAGCCAAGCATGTAACTGTTAGTGCCAAGCATTTTACTGTTAGAGCCGAGCATGTTACTGTTAGAGCCAAGCATGTTACTGTTAGAGCCAAGCATGTTATTGTTATAGCCAAGCATGTTACTGTTAGTGCCTAGCATGTTACTGTTAGAGCCAAGCATGTTACTGTTACAGCCAATCATGTTACTGTTAGTGCCAAGCATGTTACTGTTAGAGCCAAGCATGTAACTGTTAGTGCCAAGCATTTTACTGTTAGAGCCGAGCATGTTACTGTTAGAGCCAAGCATGTTACTGTTAGTGCCAATCATTTTACTGTTAGTGCCAAGCATGTTACTGTTAGAGCCAAGCGTGTTACTGTTAGTGCCAAGCATGTTACTATTAGAGCCAAGCATGTTACTGTTAGAGCCAAGCATGTTACTGTTAGTGCCAAGCATGTTACTGTTAGAGCCAAGCATGTTACTGTTAGAGCCAAGCATGTTACTGTTAGTGCCAAGCATGTTATTGTTATAGCCACGCATGTTACTGTTAGTGCCAATTATGTTACTGTTAGAGCCAAGCATGTTA